CATTGACATATGTGGCAACATCCCCTCCGGTCTTTTTTCCTCCAGTTCCACGATCCCGCCAGTAAAATTGAAAACCGTCTATTGACACTAGAGAGTCATCTACGTCCTTATTCAACCAGGATTNTGATAGGAGGGCACTAGTTAAATCCGACATTTTGGGAAACAGGGACCGAGTGTTGGTGCTGACCAATGAGGGGACAGTCATCTTTGATAGAGGGGTGCAATTAAGGGCAACTTGCCATCCTGCACGCTTGCGCTTTTTGGTCCAGCCTGGACAGTGAGAAAATGGAGTCGCACAAACCGCTGAACCATCGAAGCATGTCCTGGCATGTTTGAAACAAATAATATTATCCAGTGAGTAACGACGGCGCATGATAGTGAATGAAAAGGTGAAAATTCCCACAATGTGACGGAGGGCGTGCAAATGTAGCGCAGCCAATTGAAGGGCCAGCGCGTTTTTTTGTTTAGTGAACAGCAGAGAAGATAAACTCTCCAGTCATGAGATTCTACTGTTCATGAGTCGTAACCGGTGACCTTGGCCCTGAGACAATGGCTGACTGCATAAATCCCTAATAGGATAGTTGTGTTTTCGAGCAGCATTTCTACCCTCAAACAATGTTGGGTATTGGAGGTAGTGGCACGCCTCAGACCCATGAACTTATCACCCGAAACATCTCGGTGACATCGACTTAATCCGCTTACCCAACGTCATTGCGCATAGCACAAGGATCATGGTGACACGAAGGGGCCTGTGTAAGAAATTTATGGATAATTTAATGAGGCTAGAGTCTGTGGAACGTAGGTGAGTTAAGTAGATAGATTATACTGTATAGTGTAGGAGGAACATGGAAAAAGCTTCAATCAGCTACTCGGTTCCCGAGTTGATAGTATACTTGTGTCCTAGGTTTACTCTTTGGTTGGATCAGTGGATTCACCATTCTACTGAGACCCAGCCAGATCGAAACAGCCATCCGGTGCTTTCAAGCTCTTCAGTTCACGCTTCATTTGCTATTGACACGACGACATTCAAAATGCATTATCAAACTAAATCCTCCGCTACTCTTTTGTAACCAAATAAAAGTTTTGATTTAACTGGAACAAATAATCCTTAAAATGAATTAAAGAAAAAGATGTTTGGGGAGTGTTGGAATCCCCACGGTCGCTGGAACCCCAAGAGGTGTTCGTCAAGACCCAATCATACATTGATATGAAGCAAGCGGCTTAGAGCCTCTTTGAATAGCCCCGATACTCGGGATATGTATCACTACTGATTTTGGTGCGAAGCGATCAACCCTATTACGTTTTTCACGTTTCCAAGTGATCGTTTGCATCTAGGATCTATGTAGCTGTTCTTCTATCTCATTTCCTCAACCGAAGGTAGCAATTACCCGTTGGTAGTGTGTATAATCAAATCAAATCAATTTGCAGTTTTCAGTTTATTTCAATTCAACAGATTTGGTAAGCTCTGAGTCTTTCTCGGCTTTTTATTTGAAAAGTAAATTACTGGTTTTAACCGGAATACAAGATGTAACGGATCATGTTCCCGATGACTTCAAACCCTAATTATCACATTCATTAACGGTGGGTAGCTATGGGCAGCTATGGTATCCAATTTAATGTGGTGTATTTTGACTAAGACTGTTGCATTGCAGGGATCTGTGTTCGGTTGTACGTGTGGTTCAGATTTTGGATGTCGTGTTCTACCTGTCGCATATTGTATTCTCCCCAGGACTCTCATCTATCGCACGAACTCTCTGGTTTTCTTGATCCTACTCTGAAAAGCTGTAACATTCTGAATTTTATTTTGTCGACTTCATATCTAGGTATTACATCATGTGCTTCTTCTATCGCATGGTGATCTTCGCCGTGGTATCACTATGCTTCAAAGTGTTTGTCAACTGATGAACCCATCCACCGTAGATAGCACCTGTTTGTCTACGAAATGTCCCACTATTACCTCAGATCAGTTGGATGAAGTCGCTGCTGTGGTCCCCAGTTCCTTGTTGGACAAGCTGCTGCAGTCCGCCAAAACCGGTCGTTTCGATGAAGTGCAATCCAGTATCAAGGTTAGTGTTATCCCCGGTTCACGCTCACTTGCTCATTCTTTAAGGGAGTTAATGTTTTGTTGGTTAAAACTGTGCCCATTTATTGTCTATGATTAACCAAACTGAACATTCATATGAGAATGTTTTATAAATAAACTGTAATTATATATAATTACAGTTTATTTATAAAACATTCTCATAT